GGCAAGAATATCTGCCTCTGTGACTAAGAGAAATCATCAGCTTCTAAAGCTGTATCGAGAGTCCCCAAGCCCAGCAGCCACCCAGGAGGAGGACAGGATCCTTGCCAGAGGTCCCAGCAGAAGTACGTTTCATAATGGGAGTTCTAAATGCAATCATCGCCAAACCTGCATGCTCAGAAACAGACGCGAGTGCAGGAGCCAGAGGACCTTCAGAAGCCAGATAAGATCATCTGGGACAAATCTTCCCTAGTCTACCTGAGGCTGTTCACAGCCTGCTGTCTTGGCTGTAGCTCAGTAGATGTATTTTGTGGTCCCCCCGTATGATCACCTCAGGCCTAGACTTGGGGGATTCAAGATCTCATGATCCTCTTTTACTCCATTTCCCTGCTATTTTATTATCAAGCCAGTTGCCTAGCCCCTGGTAAGGAGTTCCTTTCATATTAGAGATACGTGCAGGCCTTAAAGTCCCTGGGCAGGCATCACCGGGTGTGCCTTACCATTCTGCATTGGGTCCTGATTGGGGGTCTGTAGTCTCTTGGGGAAAGGAGGAAATCCCCAAGGAAGGAAATTACAGGTGGTAGATGCTGACTTTGCCATGAAGGCGGGAAGTAAAGGAAACTCCATGGTTGTTCACATCAACATTCAGCTGTATGTTTCTTCATCCCCAAAGTTGTCATTCGGAATTGATAAAAGCCTCAGAGGAAGAACTATGCACAATTTTTAATTTAGTGCTCTGTGTTGGGGCTGAACCCCATAGACCAGGACCATAGTGGCAGGTGGCTGGCTCTGATCATGCACAGACAGTAGGTACCTCTCTCAAAAGCTCAGATCCCAGGATGGGTTTAGAGCCTCAGAATGCACTGAAGGGTAAGGATGGGATCTGCCACACCTCTTCTCCAATGCTATGTTGCCCTCTGCCAGAGAGTCCCCAAGCAGGGCCTTGTCCGGGAGGATGGAAGACAGATGCAAGGTGCTTCAGAAAGTGGCAAAGATGCCTGGTTCTCACAGGACTCTAGGACACAGACTAAGTCCTCAGGAAGTAGCTCTGGTGCTTAGAAATGTGTCCTTCCCCACTTGATTTTGCACCCCCAAATTAGCTTCTTGGAAGAGACTAGAACTACCATTTTTCAGGCATTTAGAATGTCCCAACTCCTGTGCTGGGCATCGACATACGGTTCTTCAGTTCATCCTCACAGCCCTCAAGGTGAGTGTTCCTGTTCCCTTTTACCAGCGAGGAAAGGGAGGTTGGTAGCATTCAGTCCTCGCAGAAGCTTTCACAGAGTCACACAGTGTACCTGATCTCCAGCTTGCGAAGGTCATTCACTCGTGCAGTCCTCTGGCTTCCCTTAGAAGGAGTGGCCTGAGAGAGCAAGACTGAAGCCTCATTGCCTTTCCGTCCTGGTCCCAGATGTTACACACAGTCATTTCTGTCATGTTCTGTTCATCAGAAGTATGTCGCTAAGTCCAGCCCATGCTTGGGAAGAGAGGAGTGTCAAAGAATGTGTGGACACATTTTAAAACCACTGTAATCACTGTTGCCCAGTTGTACTGAAGCCACCCCTGAGTGTGCGGGTGAACTGTCAGCCGCATTTTTGGTCCAGGCTCCAGGGCAGAGAGTTCTTTAAGGGCAGGGACCACATATCAGACACTATTGCAGCCATAGAACCAAACTCATGGTCTGGCTCATGGTAGCTATTCAATAAATGTTTGAGACATAAAGCAATTAATTAACAAATTGAGAGTATGAAACAGGCGGATTCTATTAATTATGCTAATAATGGGGTCTAATGACGCATAGATAAACCTACATAGGTTCATCCACTAACTAGTTCGATGATCTCATGCAAGTTATTTTCATTAGAAGGCCTCTAAGTTTAGAAAGAGGATCTCTACAGTCCCTTTGAGCTCTAACAAGCACTGATAAATAGAAAATTATTACAAAAAGGCTTTGCAGCCTGTGCCAACAGCACAAATGCAGAGAATCTCCCTTGCAGTGGAGCCCTTGCTTCCTCACCAAGGTTTCCTCTTCTCTTTGCAGATCGCCCTGCTCCCCAACAATGCTGCTGACCTGGGCAAGTATATCACTGGTGACAAGGCGCTGGCCTCAAACGCCTACCTGCCAGGACCTCCTGGCCTGCCTGGGGGCCAAGGCCCACCCGGTGAGTGTGGAGGAGGGCACAGGAGGGTGATGGAGTCGCCAGCAAAGGTGGGCCAAGAGCTCACGGTTAGTGGGGGTGGATGGTGTTCTCTGGCTCCCATCAAGGAGACCCTAAGCAGAGTCCAGGGAGCTGCCACATGCCTGGGTGGGAAGAGGCCATGGCGAATTAGGCCCTCCAGCCTGAAACCCTCACAATCAATTGCAATTTGGGAGAAAAAGGTGATTGTCCTGGGTTTGGATAAGATTCCTAAAGATTTAAGATCCTTAAAGATTTTAAGTTACAGAGAAACAAAATGAGAACTACTTTTTAACTTTATTATGGAAAAATTTTAATGTATCCAAAAACGGAATTGTATAACGGACCCTATGGGCTCGTCCCCCAGTTTTAACAATTCATGACCAGCCTGGTTCCCACTATTTCTCAATCTTTCCACCTTCCCTTATTATCTGTTAACATATTTACGTCAATATTTATTGTTATATCTTTTTCATTGTAAGTCGGTTTTATTGAGATACAAATTCTATTACAGTTTGATGAGTTTTGACAAATGTATACACCCATGTGACCACCACCCTATATCTGTATCAAGATACAGAACATTTCCATCACCCCAGAAAGTTCCCTTGTGCCCATCTGCAGTCATTCCACCTCCCCATCCCCAGCTCAGCAACCACCGACCTGCCTTCTTTCACTACAGTTTTGCCTGTTATAGAACTGCATGTCAGTGGAGTCTTTGTCTGGCTTCTTGCATTCAGTATACTGCTTTGGAGATTCACTCATATTAATTGAAGAAAAATCTCAAATATTATTTCATCAAGAAATATACAATGAGAGCTTAAAAAAATAGTTACAAAATGTTTTATATTTTACTCTGGGTTCCTCCATAGAGAGATCAGTGGATTTTTTTCACACCAGCAAAGGAAATGACATTAATATTAGCAAATGAGTCTAAATCACTGGGTGTCTTATCCCTGGTTATCATTGCTTAGCTGTGTGCTGGGTGTTATGAATGACCTCCTAACACTGTAATTGGGAGGACAAGACACATAGAGTGAATACAAATAGGACAAAGCAGTATCCACATGCCCCCAAGTAAGTACCCAGATGCTTCCTGCCATGGAGCTTAAAGAAGGGAGAGATCTCTGTAGCCTGCAGTGATCAGGGGAATTTGGGGTTGATCTGGACGTGGAAGATGGGTAGAATTTGTCCAAACAGGAAGGACATAGGTGGGTTTTAGGTTTGAAAGGTTAGTAAGAACAAAGGCTCAGAGTTCTTTCCAAAGAATTTAGGTGTGTTCTCTCTACATAAGTCTTAATCTCCTAGTTTCCTTCAAACACTGGTGGCCTGGATCTCAGTCTGTACAGAGAATAAGGGCTGGTCCGGGACTTTGGTTCACACTCTTGTTCATTCCCCTGGCCTGAGATAACTCTTGGGTATTGGTGGAGTTTTCCCCAGCACATACCTCATGCAGACAGCCATGCATCTTCTCCGTAAACTAGAGTCTCTCCTTACAAACTGGTTCCTAGCACAGTATTCCCCACCTGTCCATAAGAGAATGTTTTTTCTTTGTCTCCCTGGAGGAAGTTCATCTCTAGGCCAGTCTCCGTATCATGAGGACAAGGACAGCTGTAGGAACAGGAGCCATTGGCTGCCTTTTTCTTAGTAAATAACTTGTTGACTTTCACCTCTAATTCTGCCATCTGGTTTCTAATGTGGTTTAAGCTGTCCAGTGTCCTTGATGGAGCAGGGAGTGATTGAGGATGAATGAGCCTTTACAATAGATCAAGCACTTGCATGGAGAAATTCCCATCCTGTTTCCTTCTCACTCCTTACTTCGAGTGTTTTCGATGCCCTCCATTGAGATGTATTAGGGCAGCTAGAAAGCTAATACGTTTCTCTCACCCTTAAATAAAATTCCAGTCCTGAAGCCTGTGATGAGTCACAGACTGGAGCTCCAGGACAGGAAGTGACACTGCGTTGGCATCCTTTGTCTTTGGTGGTGAGGAGGTGGCTGCTTCTGTCTGGCTCCCACTGTGATGTCTAAGGTGTGGCCCACCCAAGTCCCACATTTTAAGGGCACTTGACATATGGTGACCTCTGAACTTCACGGATTGTGTAAAGGCAGGGAAGATATTATCTCTGGTCTGTCCTTGGTTCCGTTGGAGATAAAATATTTAGCGATAGGGATCTGCCCCCCTTTCCAGATAAACTCTTTCAGGGTGGACCTGGAAGCAGCGTTGAGAGCAGGGGTGTGAGACATGTTTGGATGGAACATTGACTGCCTTTAACTTTGGCTTCATTATTCTGTGAACTAGAAAAGATTCCCCAAAATATGAAAAGTCTGAAGTCTTTGTTTTGTTTAACAAAGCCTGAAGGTCATTCCATCGATGAAAAAGTAACCATTGTATGCATTGGAAAGAGGTGGCTCTGAGGAGTAAGGATAGCACAGAGATTAGCCCGGTCTCTTCAATGCAGTCATTTAACAAGAAACATTTACTGAGCAGCCTACGATGTATCTGGGACTCTTTGAGAGTGTGCTAACAAATAACACACAACCCCTGCCTTCACAGAGCCGACAATCTAAAACTGGGGTTAAAACTCAATGTCCTTCCACATGCAAAAAAATGAAGTTGGACCCTTACCATACACTATATACAAAAATTAACTCAAAATGGATTCAAGACCTGAAACTATAAACTGCTAGAAGAAAACATGAAATCTTCATGACACTGGATTTATTGATTATTTCTTGGATAGGACCCCAAAAGCACAGGCAGCAAAAGCAAAAATAGACAAATGGAATTCCATCAAACTTAAAAAGTTTTGTGAATCCAAAACAAAACAATCAACAGAGTGAAAGGGCATCCTACAGAATGGGAGAAAGTTATTTGCAAGTCATATATCTGATAAGAGATCAATATCCAGAACATATAAAGACCTCCTATAACTCAACAACAAAAAAATCAAATAATTGGATTAAAAGATGGGCAAGATACTTAAGTAAACATTTTCCCAAAGAAGATACACAAGCAGCCAGCAAGCATATTAAAAGATGCTCAATATTACTTATCATAGAAGAATGCAAACCAAAACTACAATGAGGTATCACCCCACACCCATTAGAATGGCCTTTCTTAAAAAAAGAAAAAAATAAAGTATTGTCAAGGATGTGAAGAAATTGAAGCTCTTGTGCACTGTTGATGGGAATACAAAATGGTGCAGTTGCTACAGAAAACAGTATGGAGGTTCCTCAAAAAATTAAAATTAAAATTACCATATGAGTATGACCCAGCAATCCCGCTTCTGGGTATATATCCAAAAGAATTGGTAACAGGATCTTGAAGAGATATTTGCACATCCATGTTTATATAGCAGCCACTATTTCACAATAGCCAAGAAGTTGAGGCTACCCAAGTGTCCACTGACAGATGGGTGGAAAACAAAATGTGGCATAAACATGCAATGGGACATTACTGAGCCTTAAAAAATAGGAAATTCTGATGCATGCTACAACATGGGTGGACCTTGAGGACATTATGCTGAGAGAAATAAGCCAGTCAAGAGAAGACCGGTGCTGTATGATCACACTCACATGAGGTGTCTAAAACAGTTGAATACATAGAAACAGAAAGTAGCATGGTGGTTACCAGGTGCTAAGCGAGTAAAGGAGAAATGGAGAGTTGTTCAATGGGTACAGAGTTTCAATTTTACAAGATGAAAAAGTTGTAGAAGTCTGTTGCACAACAGTGTGAATGTACTTAACACTACTAAACTGTACATTTAAAAGTGCTTCAGATGGTAAATTTTGTGTTGAGTGCTTTTTACCACAATTTTAATAAAATGCCCTCAAAGTGCCCACTCCCTTTCCCTCATCTCCCTGGCTGATGTTCAGCATCTAATGCAGAGGTGAACATGCTGATGTCTGCACCAAGGTGCTGCCCCACAGTGAACACAGCTTGGCCCCTGGGTAGCCGGCGCAGTATTTCCTGGAGCATTCAGAGTGGCAGACATGCTGTGTCCCATACTGAGGTGGAGATGTGCCACAAGCCCAGCCAATCCAGAGAGGCTGTTTACAACTCTCTGTGTCTGTGGTTTAAGGTAGATGAGACCTAAAGCTCTCTCCCCATCAATCTCCATGATAAGGTGGTATGACCACATTCTCACACACATACAAACAATTGTCAAGCAGACATGAAAATAGTCATATAGCTTGTTGGTGTTTTTTTTATTATTGAATGTAATTGATTATACATATTTGTGGGGTACAAAGTTGAATATCAATACCTATGTACAGTATGTGATGATCAAATCAAAATAAAGAACAATTAGCATATTCATCATTACGAAACATCATTTCTTTGTCTTGAGGACATTAATCTCTCTTCTAGTCATTTGATAACATGGAGTAAATTAATGTTAATTATTAGCTTGTTCTCAAACTCATTACATTTCCAGTGCTATGTTGATTTAAGCCTCCGAAAAGAATTTTAAAGAACAAAAACAAAAAAAGACCTCAACATCTACAGAGACCGGGCATGAGGAGAGCTGGGTGCGAGCAGGAGGGACTGAGGAGAAATGAACCAAAGCAGAAGGCACATGCCCCTGTCTAAAGCAGCAGCCCCTGCATAAAGCTCCAGTCAACTGCACAGTCGCAGAATTGTGCTCCAGGCTTTAGTTCTTTCTGTTTTCAAACAGAAGCCAGGAACCCAGATTTCTATATGAAATCTCCCAATTTAAAAATATTAGGAATATCCAGAGGATAATGGAATGCATAAACAGAATGTACAGAGTGTGTATATGTATGTATAGATGTGTATCAGTGTGCATATATGTACACACATGTTGTGCTATAGATATAGTATTATGGTACACAATAAAGTAAGCAGTTAATTCCCTTATAGGGAAGGGGGTGTTAAGATGTTTTTGGAGATATGTGGTCTGGGGTGATTATATGGGGAAGGAGGCAAAGCAGGAAAGGAGGGAAGTATGGTCTGCACTGGGTCATGGTTTATCCAGGGATGATGGGGGCTGAGAGATGATTAGGAGAGAGGCAGTGGTGGAGGGAAAGTGCCTGAAGAGGAAGACTAGAGTAAGCTCATATGCTACACTCAGGAGTTTTAACTTTATTCTATATGCAAAAGGGAGCCATGGTAGGGCTTTCTCCTCCTCAGACTCCAATTGCACGTATGTTAGATTGTTTGACATTGTCCCACCTCTTTTGGATGCTCTGTTTTACTTTTTATTTTCCTCTTTGTGTTTCATTTTGGATAACTTCTACTGAGTTATCTTTAAGTTCACTGTTCTTTCCTCACCTGTGTCCAGTGTGCTCATAAGCCTATTGCAAATATTTTTCATCTCTAATATTATGTTTTCTATTTCTGTTTGGCTTTTTTTCTCCTCTAATTTCCATCTCTCTGCTGCAGGTCCCCTTCTGTTCAGGCAAGCTTTCTACTTTCCCCCTAGCACCTTTAACATATTAATCATCGCTATTTTAAAGTCCCTGACTGATAACTCTGCTATCTGTGTCCCCTCTGAGTCTGGTTCTGCTGATTGCTCTATTGCTTGACAATGGTTTTTTGTTTGTTTTGCTGTTGCTTTTTTATGTGCCTCAAAATTTTGATCAAATCAAAATTTTTAATTGAATGCTCCAATTTTTTTATTGAATATGTCTTTGTAGAGGGACAGTAGAAACTGAGGTATATAGTGATTACTCCTGGAGATGGGTACCCTCTCCTTCTGTCAGGCAACTAGCATGGGAAGTTGAGTCAATCTAATGAATAATTGAGATTCGTTTGGGTTTTGTTGTTATTATATTTATCTTCGGTGTTCCATAGTCTTCAAATTTTCAAATTCCTCCAAGGGTAGGATACTGTTGCCTTGTGCTCAGTAGGAGTTTAGAGTGTCAATTAGTTTTTCTTGGTGTTTGAACCCCACTCTCAGCTTTCAGCAGCCCCTACACACCTGTGCCACAGACGTATCCTCTGTGGAGATCCTCTCTCCATGCTCTTGCCCTTCCCCCAGTGGTAGGCTACTGTTTCTTATTATTCCGTGCTAGAGTTTGGGGAGTAAGGGTCATTTTCAGTTCTCCTGGTCCAGCTGCAGTCCTAAGCATGGGGTCAGATCTTCTTCCCATGCCCACCCACTCCCAGTGTGTCTATATCTGGGGCAAATCTTGGACAGGAGAACGTTTCCTACGCCTCCCCCAGAAGTAGTGGATATTTGTCTGGGTCCTGCAAGAGAGAGGGTTTGCTGCCCCACCCCAGTGATTTGAGGCATTTGCCCTAAATGGCTGGAAGTAGGAAAGTTACATGGTAAGACATGTTTTCGAAGTATTATTCATATAGGAGTGTGAGGAACGGGTGAGGGGTGATTGGTGGGAGGCAGAAGGACTAGCTACGAGGCCAGAGTTGAAGCAAATATAGGAAGGCCTAACAGATTTTTTTAGTGCTTCCTGTGTCTGAGGTACGATGCCAAGTGGTGTGTGTGTATCTAAAATCTCATTTAACACTCACGATCACCCTGTAAGGCAGATTTTTATTAGTTCAGCTTTAGAGATGAAAAACTAAGGTTCAAATATGAGCGTACTTCAAAAAATTCATGGAAAAAGAATTAGAGAGTATGAGTCTTCCCATGAACTTTTTGAAGTACCTTGTAGCTCAAGTAACTTGTCCAAGATTCCAACCTAGGTCTCTCTGATGCAAAAACCTGTACTTTTAATCACTACCCTGCCGCGATAGCCCCTGCCTGCCATGACAGCCACTACACTGCCATGATCGAGGGTATAGAGAGCAGCAGACAGTTAGATGTTAAAGAGGTGAAATGGTCAGGAACTGGTCACTGATTGGATAAGGAGGATGTATAAGGAGGAAATAGGGAAATTATATATAGGAAGACTCAAGTTTCTGGTTTGACAGGATGGGTGACTGGTAGTCCATGGAAAGAGAGGAAGAAGGGGAAGTCACTTTTGACCTTGTTAGGTTTAAAATGCCTGTGGGACATCCTGATGGAGATATCAGAGGCAAAGGTTAGAATGCAAAGAGGAGAGGCTGCAGGGGCCCTGGACTGTCTCATTAGCCAGAGCCCCTGCCCTTCTCACGGGCTGTGAGCTAATGAGGTGTTCTTTCATTACAGGCTCACCAGGACCAAAGGGGAGCCCAGGCTTCCCTGGTATGCCAGGCCCACCTGGGCAGCCTGGCCCGCGGGGCTCAATGGGGCCAATGGGACCATCTCCTGATCTGTCCCACATTAAGCAAGGCCGGAGGGGCCCTGTGGTCAGTATCTTATCAGAGATCCACTTACTGTTGCTGGGGAAAGCATGTTCTTGCCCCATGCTTTTTCCTTCTGTTAAACCAGATCCTTTTGTCTCATAGGGTCCGCCAGGTGCACCAGGAAGAGATGGTTCTAAGGTAGGTCTCATGAGTGGTCCTTACAAGCCAAAGGAGTCTCACTTTCCACCTGCCGTGTAGCTGTTGGTAAAACTCAGCAAGCAGTCTTTACTCACATGTGGCAAAATTGAGACACAGATTTTTCCCCAAATCTGGGAACAAAATCTGAGCAGTTTTCTTCAAGTATGAAACCAACCCTAAAAACTAAAACAGCCACCAAAACCACTCCTAGGAAAAATGACCCCTATACATTTTAAAGAAGCCTTTGTGTTGGAATAGTCACATGTGCCTTTCTCTTTAACCAGCATTGTGGTGTAGGGGTGTTTTGTGTGTGTCCTCATTTCTTTGGGATGTTTAAGTCAAGAACAGAAGTTTCATTCTGTGCAAGGGGGTGGTTTCACTTTGAGAGCGGCCTGCTGATCTCCTCACAAAGTCAGTGTGAGCTACTTGAGAAAGCTTCTAGAAGTCCGCATGCTGTCTGGAAATATGATCATTCCTCTTATTGGGCCTGGTTTGAAAATATGTGGCCTTGAGGGAAGTGGGAATGAGACACTTGACCGAATCAGTTCTGTCCCAATAAGTGGTCTGTGAATCCAGCTTCAATCTTACATTTGTTTCCTGTAGAAAATATTTGTTGTTTTGTGCAGGGAGATGGTTATGGTGGGTGTTCAGTAGAGACCACCAGGGTGGTATCCATGTGGTCCAGAAAGCTAACCCTGGCCTTTCTGTTTCTAGGGGGAAAGAGGAGCACCTGGGCCCAGGGGTTCTCCAGTAAGTAGCACTATCTTTCCTGCTTCCCCGGTGGGAATGTTCTCAGGGATGCAGCTCTGATGAGCCTATAAGCTGGTCTTAGTAGCAAAAGCCCACCCCTTCTGGCCATCTCTCAGCCCACTGAACAGAACTCTGAGGTTAAGAAGAGCCACAGAAGGTTTTGCTGGTTTAGATTTATTTTTTAGATTTGTTTTCTGTTGTTATTTTTTCTTATCATTGGCTAATCTTTATTTCAAATTGTCTTCTCTTAAGGTTCAAAACCCCAGTATGCTATGAGTCTGTTACCAAGTATATCATAAGACATCTGAAGGACTAGGAAGGACATCTATGGGGTTAATCATAACTTTGAACACTTGAGAATTTAGCCACTGCCACAACCCTAGCTGGTCAGATGACCATCCCCTCCAAAAAATGCAAAGACAAGCAGACTGGGACCTGAGAAGAAGTCAGCTGCATAGATACACAGTGTCTGGGAGATTCAAAGTGAAAATTGGTAGTATCCAAGTGCACAGAAAATTCAAGCAACTCCACTGCTTCTGATGAAGTCAGTATAGAAGTATATGTGGCCACAGAGGGAGAAAGTCTGGGTTCCCATCTCAGTCTCTTAGCTTCTGACCATGACCACATCATTCTGGCCATTCATTTCCTTACCTGTGTAATTCCAGAAGTGGAGTCTGATCTGCCATACCTCAAGTGGTTATTGTGATGGTCAAATGACATCAAAATACTCTACCTCTCAAAGTGCTTTACAGTGAAAGCTGCTGCTTCTAAGATGGTAGCCACAGCAGCAGTGATTGTGGGGCGAAAACAATTTTACTACAAACTTCTAACAGGCCCACAAAATGCATGTTTACACTTTTTTTTTTTTTTTTACTATGCCCCACACAGCACCACATGGAAATGAAGGTTTAACAAATACTATATAATGATAAAGGATGTTCAATAAATAGAAAATTGAGGAAGCTTTTCTTTGGATCTTTCCTGGTCAATGAGGAATTGATGTCTTTACAGCGTTCTCTCAACTTCATTTAGTTTGCAGTTGTAGTCAGCCACCTTATACAAATCTTAATAATTTCATTTTTAAAAGATAACATTTTGAGGGCCGGCCCGGTGGCGCACTGGATAGTGCGCCGCTTGGGAGCGTGCCGGCGCTCCCGCCCGAGGGTTCGGATCCCACATACAGACCGGTTCCCGCTCACTGGCTGAGCGAGGCGCGGGAGCAACACCAAGGGTTGCAATCCCGTTGCCGGTCCCCGGTCCAGTACGGGGGCAACACTGAGGGTTGCGATCCGTTGCCGGACACGGAAAAAGACAAAAGACAAAAAAAAAGATAACATTTTGAGCATTTACTATGTTCTGTGCCCTTTGCATGTGTTAACTCATTTACATCCTCACCTATGACCTCTGTGAAACCCTATGAAGTTGGGACTATCATTATCCCCATTTTACAGATGGGGAAACTGAAACCCAAAGAAATTAAGTAACTTGCCCAAGACCACACAGCTAGCAAGTGGCAGAGCAGGGATTCAAACCCAACAGAACCCCAACCTCTTAACCACTGCTCTATTGCCTTCATTAAGTATCTTCCAGATTACTTTGGGAAGTAACCTAGGAGGGTTATTCTCATCTTCTACCAGGACGACATAGCCTAGGGTTAGGAGGGAGGAAAGGTGAATATGTCACCAAAGCTCATATATGAGATGGAGGAATTAAAGACAATCTTGCCGATCCCTCAGGCTACTGCAACAGTCCTTACGTTTATTCCCTTTGGGTCACAAAGTTATTGAGAAAGTAGTTGCCAGCAAGCAGCGGGACTAGCAAAGCACGGAGCCCTGGGAGGCTGTTGCTGTTGCAAAGGGCTGTATTCTAACTCTGATTCCTCTCCTGTGCACAGGGACCCCCTGGTTCTTTCGACTTCCTGCTGCTTATGCTGGCTGACATCCGCAACGACATCGCTGATCTACAGGAACAGGTGTTTGGGCACCGGACTCACTCTTCAGCGGAAGAGTTCCCTTTACCTCAGGAGTTATCCAGCAACTCAGAAACCATGGACTTGGGCTCTGGAGATGACTCCCCAAGAAGAACTGAGGCAAGAGACTGGGGAGCCCCCACAGACTTTTATCCATAGCACACCCCAACATTTTCAGGCCAAAGGAAGAGAAAAGAGTGTTTTCTCCTGCAGTTAAATCATCTAAAGAAGAAAAAATCACTGGAGACCTAGAAAAGACACATTGTTATTTTCTTTACTCTTTTCTTGCCTTCTCCTTACTCTTCTTCTTCCAAATACTGTTTTCAGGGTCCCCTAGTAGACCTACTAGTGACATGATGGAGTAAGTGACAATGATGGATTTACACACTTTCCATTGAGTCAGCTGGGGTGGTCCATGCTGGGACTTTTCTTTAGCGTCTTATTTTTTTAGGAACCTCTGAGTTAAGTCCTCTCACGTGGTGTCTTAAAATTTGGTAGAATATCAAAATGGAAAAATAACAAGGCGAGCTCTAAGAAAATGTGAGGCTACATCTAAAAATATATAGATATGTGTTCGAAATAGACTAGTACTCCTCTGGTACAAAATTAGGGCTCTTCAATTAAAAAGGGGTGGGGAGGACAACCATGTAGCTTTGTCTTGGTGGGTAATTCTTTTCACTTGTCAATCTAATAGATTTAAATATTCTATCCTCTTAGTCAATTTTGTTTCCCAAATTTGGTTAAAGAAAGGAGAGAATGAAAGAGTGGAGATTAGGGAAGATAGAGAAGAACTACAGTCATATATTTACTCTCATATAAGTTGCCACATTTTAAAATTAAAATACAATGATTAAGGATTCAGGCCACACTTATCTGTAAGAGAAGAAAGTTACTCTGTCTGTTGGAATGGATCCTCTTTTCAAAAGACAGTAAGGTTAAAAAAAGAAAAGACAATAAGGGAATGGAACTCCCCAATTCACATTAGAACAATAGGTTCCTGGCTTGCCAGGATATCTTAAAGCTGTTTGATCAAAAGAGAGGGCCTGCTCTATAAGTCACAGATTTTTTCTTTAAAGGAAGAATGAGTTTTATTCCTCAGTGATAGAAGGAGTAGTTCAATTAGGAAGAATCCATAATCCTGCGCCTGTATACATCAAATAACACAGACTCAGAATACATAAGGCAGAAGGAGGAAAAATGTACTGATAACTATAAAACTTTACAATCAGGGTTATTAAGTCTAAACCCTTCTGTGAGAAACTGATAGATCAAGCAGAGAAAATAAGGATTCAGTAATTTGAAAAACACATCTAACTAACAAGATCTAGTGAATTTATTTATTAGCATTGCCACAATAAATAGAGAATGTACATTATTTTCAGAAAAAGTCCCAGTAAGTACCAAAGAATCAGTGCCCTGCAGGTTATGTTCTCTGACTACAGTGCAATATAATTAGAAGGCAATGCATAAAATAATCAAGAGAATCTCTTACATGAGAAAAATTGTTTTAAATAATTCAAAGAAGAAATCAAATGAAAATTACAAAATATTTAAAACTGCAGTGAAAGACCATATCACAACTCATGGACACAGCTGAATATATGAGTGACATTTATAGGTTTAGGAATATATTAAAAAGCCAGCCAGATTGAAAATTAGTGACCCTTAGAAGTTAAAAAAAAAAAAAAAAAAATTCTAAGGAAGTATGATGTTTGGCAATAATAAAAATTTAATAATTCTATTAAATTAATAGAATGGGAAACAAGAATAAAAATCAATAAATCCAAAGCTAGTTTGTTAAATAAGGGTGGCTGACCCTTAAGAGGTCAGTGAATCAATGAATCAATGTTCAGTGGGGCTCAAGGCTGGAAGGTGGTTGCTGTTTGGGGTTGTTGGCAAAGGAGAGGGGGAACCTTGGGCAGGGACCCCACTAAAGACAAATCGGCAGAGGCAGGTAAGTTTGCTCTCCTTGGATGTCAGAGGTCCTTGTTTGGGGCTGGCCAAGCTTGCCGACATATTGAGAATAGTGCAGTATCGAAAGTTCTTTTGGATGGGAAGAGAAAAACAACAATGGTTTTCCTTGTTTGGCAGAAATTTCCTTCCTCCTGTTCCCATTTTTCCTTAATTTAGTGCAAGTTCCAGTTCTCTCCTAAGCAATGTGGGAAGCCATTCAGAAAGGGGTATACTTCCCAACCTCACACAGACTGTGTTTTCTCAGAGCGCATCTGGGTCCCAGAGGGAAGCGTGTTCCTGACAAGGCTTTCTCTGGGTTCACAGGCATCAGGAGCAAGAGACCAGGAGAATCTGCTCCTTCTTAACATTGTCGGGGGTCCTCTTGTTTCAATGGGCAGCTTATGGGCTTCTTAGGTCCCACTTTCTCTCTGGACACAAAACATGGCTTTTTACCCACTGATACAGGAAATTTCATCTCACATGGAGCTTCACAAATGATCATTCTCACAGTCACGTTTGTTCCTGTTGAGTTTCCCATTTCCCAGCCTGCAGTGTCCCCTTATATTTCTGATAGCTTTGTGTTTGGCTTTTTCCCCCATCTCCTTCTAGCCTCCATCCTTTAACTCCCCTACCTTGAAAGTTTGTTTAAAGAAAACCACTGTTGTGGTCTTCGTATGCCACTTTTCCATCTTTGTCCTTGAGAACCACAGGAGGGGCTCTGTTGGCAAATTTACAGTGGCAATAGCCTTCCTTCTCTCTTCCTGTAAATGTTAGAAATGCAGGACTCAGGTCAGTGGGTGGCTGGGTGTTTCATCAATACTTTGCTCCACTATTTCTCACTCATGCAAAATCCCCAGTGACAGACCAACACCTTAAAGGTGAAAATGAGCACATTCCCAGTGCTCCTTTTCTAGCATCTTTCTTCTGCCTCAGTCTCTCCAGAATCCGACCTTCATAGCAAGGGGCCACGCCAACCATGGGTTTATGAAGAGATGAGCTGAACAGCTGTTGATTCCCATTTGGAATATATTTAATGTTTGCCTGCTTGAGGGACACAGTACTTAAAGGGTGTGGATGGATGAATGCTTAAAAAAAAAAAAAAACATGTACAAGCTCTGTGAGAGACGATCTGGTTCATCTTTGGCTTTCTAAAACATGAGGAATTTTATTACCTTTTATTCTTCTTGCCAATGAACTGTGTTTAGAAATATAGTTTTTATTGTCAAATGTTCATAAAATGCAACCAAACTACATGTTTGGCCATAGGATAGGATAATATATTTAAAGAATGAATTAAAAGTAGTAATACCTGGGATTCATAAGACTCTTCTAGACAGTGTTGTCCAACAAAACACACAATAACCTGTATTTTGTAATCCTAATCTGTTGAACCAGGTCAATTTAGAAAATAATTATTAATCCTCAGATTTTCAAAACTTGGACTACTACAAGGCTATGTATATAATCTATATGCACAAATTATATTTTTCAGAGATAAGACATCATAAAGCATTGTTATTTCTAATGTGTCTTTTGGTTATGAATAGAAAACCAATGCTTCATTGACTGAACAGGAATTCTGCTCAAAACCCAATGAGAAAGCCATTTTTAATTTGCCACAGTTTTACTAAGATACTTCATGTTTTATGAGAAAAAAAAGATTTTTGTTTGCTTCCTCAGCCCATTAGTAGAAATGTTGACTTCAATTTTTTTGCACCCTCCTAACTAGGACTTAGAATAGGACTTCATAAGTTGCCTCTGGTTTTGCAAAGCAATGGGAATAAAAATATGTTGAGTACAGGAGGGCATGCATTTTAGTTTAGGAAAACCTCTCTCCCTTCCCAGTTCCAGAGGGAGAAATTATAAGCTTTACTATTTCAAAGAAGAGTGGGGTACAAAGAGGGGGCTGCCTTTTCTCGCCATGTTAATTCCCAACTCCAGTCACAGGATTGGTTGACTACATGAAGTCTGCTTCTACTGTTTAAACTCAGGTGTGTTCATAGCCCAACAGGTAAATAATAAATGCTCATTGGCGTTGGGGGGAAAAGCGGGAAGTATTGCCCCACTACCAACCAGGTGAAGAGCTCCCTGGTCTGGTCTTGCTCCCTTTCCAAGGTTCATATCTGTGTTGGCCTGTGAGCCCCATTTCCCAGGCATGCAGGGGAAGACCTTGTCCACAACTAGGCATCAAGCATCACCCTGGGTTTTTAGGCATCAATTCCTCCATCATATTTTGGGTGTCCCTCCCTCTCTTCCCCCATCCCAGCCTGTCCCACAGAGACAGCCACAGCAGCCTCATTTTGCAAACTTAACATCTTTCAGATAACGTTTCTGAAAAGGAAAGTTATTTGCAGGAATCTGGGCCAAAAAACTAGTAGAATAGAGCCATCAAAAGTTATTAAAAATGAATTCAAGGAAATAGATGAAATTTTTCCTGGCACAGTCAACATGTGTATTTCACCATAAATCAGAAAATGATTTTCCATTTGGAAACCCACACAGTGACCATAATTGTTAAAGCATAAAATCTTGCTTGGACTTTACATGCTGCTTCAATGTTACCGCTTTAGGAAACTCATAGAAAAGGATCCTTTCGCTCATCCCCCAGGGATCTAGCATTCTTTATTAAATTACAAAGCAAGAGCCCTGAGGAATTTCACGTTATCATGAGGTTGTTTTTATTTCCCAGTGACTAATCATATACTACATTAGCTCTGTCATTCATTATTTATAACAGGTCCGTATAACAGTCCGACTTGTACTCAAACAGTTATGGATTTGTACTATGAAGTACTTTTGATGTGATTGTATATGCTTAATAACAAAGTTATTTTTCTTATGTGGCTCTACTGTGTTTTGTTCTGACACCCAGTCCTGTGGAACAAGTCATCTTTTTACCAGATGAATACAAGGAGACAGAGAGGTTCTTTTCTCTTAAGAAAGAGTGTAATGCATGTTCTGGGTTAAATCCTCCTGGAATCTGGGTGTGGTCTGAGAATTTGAGTCTAAATCAAGATCTGAAGGCCCAGTTACCATTGCGACTGGGTCTCAGAGGTCCAGTTCTCCAGCCGGATGGATCCTCTGGGACACCCAGGGTGGGATTTTAAAACCAAGAAATCTCGGGGGCTTATTGGAAGTAAGTACCTTAGAAGCTCACAAAGAGGGGGCCTGTGAAGGTTCTGTGCCCCGCACCCCTCACACCAAGAGTGACTCAGTTCTCAATTGGTTTTGGGAGAATTCCACATAAGGTTTCCTCTGGGGGGTAGGGGAGAGTTGACTACCTAAAAAGAAGTAGAATTGTGGGGAGGAAT